TTCAGGCAATTCTCCTGCCTCAACCACCTGAGTAGCTGGGATTACAGGCACGCGCCACCATGCCCAGCTAATGTTTTGTATTTTTAGTAGAGACGGGGTTTCACCATGTTGACCAGGTTGGTCTCGATCTCTTGACCTCGTGATCTACCCGCCTCCACCTGCCTCGGCCTCACAAAGTGCTGGGATTACAGGCTTGAGCCACCGCGCCCGGCAGGAGAGAAAAATTCTTACATCTTCTCTTTCAAGGAAAGAATCAGCTTAATTAAGTCAACATTCAAAAAAACCATCATTTGCAAAATCATTATTTTCTGAGGATTCCAAGGTGAAGAGATGGACATTCTCACTCTTCAGGGAGTGGCTTTTGTGTGTGCGGGTGTGTACCAGGAAGGGGATGCAGCTCAGTTCACGGTGGCCGCACCCTAGGCAACTGAAGCCACACCCTGGGTTGTGCCAGCCCCAGAGGTAGCAGATAGCCTCCAAGGACAGGGTGGAAGAACTGATAGCTGGCACCCAACCGATCTCTAGCATGAGCACGCATATGAACTTCACACCACATTTTGATTATATACCTGCTCTGTGTCACCAGAAACCCTTTTATGGACCCAACAAGATAAGGTTCTTGAGAGTGGGAACTTTGCCCTCAACTTTCTCTCCTACATAGGGCCAGATACACAGTCCAACAGTCCTTCCTGAGCTGAACTTTAATACAGGAGTACAGTACTTTGCAATTCACTTGGTTATATCATAGCATTTGTTAATCATTATGCAGTTTTCTAGATTAGTCATAAACCAGCAGTATAAATTAGTATTTATGAATTGAAAGCTGCTACCACATACAGTCATGTGTTTCAGTGATGGACTCCTTATTTAACAATGGCCCCATGAGATTGCAATGGAGCTGAAAAATTTCTATTGCTTAGTGACATCATAGCCACTGTGTCATTGTAACATCATGGTACAATGCATCATTCACGTGCTTGTGGTGATGCTGGTGTAAAATGACCTACTGCTCTGCCAGTCATATAAAAGCATAGCATGTAGAATTATGTACAGCACATAATACTTGATAATGATCATAAATGACATAAACTACATAAATGACAGTTACTGGTTGATATAGTTACTATACTATACTTTTTAGCATTAAAAATTGAGAACAGTAGTTCTCAAACTTCAGTGGCATTAAAATCACCTGGAGAATTTGTTAAAACATACCCCAGTCCCAGAGTTTCTGGTTCAGTCATGTTAGGTGGGGCCTGAGAATTTTCATATCTAACTTGTTCCTAGGTGGTGCTGATGATGCTGGTCAAGGACCATATTTTAAGAACCACTGTTCTGGCTGTGAGGTGTGCGAGCGGGTGTGAGAGACTTCCGCGGACATGGCTCCCAGCGTGCCAGCGGCGGAACCCGAGTATCCTAAAGGCATCCGGGCCGTGCTGCTGGGACCTCCCGGGGCCGGTAAAGGCACCCAGGCACCCAAATTGGCTGAAAACTTCTGTGTCTGCCATTTGGCTACTGGGGACATGCTGAGGGCCATGGTGGCTTCTGGCTCAGAGCTGGGAAAAAAGCTGAAGGCAACTATGGATGCTGGGAAACTGGTGAGTGATGAAATGGTAGTGGAGCTCATTGAGAAGAATTTGGAGACCCCCTCATGCAAAAATGGTTT